AAAGGGGGAAGACTCTGAGCAAGATGGATTGACTCAGTGGCTGCAATGATTGGCTCCAGTATAGCAAGGATTCTGAGGATGGCACAGGACCAGGCAGTGTTTTGTTCTGTGTACATGGGCTCGCTATAATTCTGAGCCAATTGGGCAATCTACTTCCTGAGAGATACCACCTCAGAAACCTAAGGAGGGGTCACTATGAGTCACAACCGATTTGATGGCAGTGAATTGGAATTGTTTTTTTTTGGCTAACAACAACAACAGTCAGCAATAAAAAGGAGCACACTACTGAATGAATCTCAAAAATCATTATGCTAAGTGAAAGAAGTAACATCAAAGAGTACATACCACTTGATTCCACTTATAGAAAACTAAGAAAATACAAACTAATCTATAGTGACAGAAAACAGGTCAGTTATTGTTTGGGAAGGCATGGCAGGAGGTAGTGGGAATACAAAGGGGCATGAGGAATGATGAATATATGTTCTCTATCTTGACTTAATGATGGTTTCATGGGTATATAAAACGTCAAAACTTATCAAATTATAAACTTTAAAGTGTACAATTTATTGTATGTCAATTATATCTCAATAAAGCTGGTAGTGCAGTGGTTGAAGTGCTTGACTACTAACCAAAAGGTAAGTGGTTCAAATCCACCAGCCTCTCTGTAGAAGAAAGATGGGGCCATCTGCATCCATCAAGATCACAGCCTTAGAAACTCTATAAGGCAGTTCTACTCTGTCTTACAGGGTCACTTTGAGTCAGAATCAACTTGACGTCACTCAACAACAAGCCTGTTTAAAACACAAATTGCTGGGTTCTACCATTAGAACCTCTGACGATAAAATTATTTATCCATTTTATTAGACCAAGTTCAATAAGTTTGATAGTTTACTATTAAAGTCTAAAAACTCATTCATTTAATAAGAAGTATGACATCTCTAGAATGTGAAGTTATTATTTTCCACAAGTATTTTTATCAATCTAGAAGCAGTTTATACTATCGTGTATCATGCTGGGTGATACGAAACAAAACACAAAGGGCAGGCAAAGAGATGAAGAATCCATGTTAGTTCATAGCGACCCCTCCCTGAGTTTCCGAGGCAGTATCTCTACGGAAGTAGACTGCCCAATCTTCCTTCCGAGGAGTAGCTGGTGGGTTTGAAACATCAGCCTTCTAATTAGCACTTAAATGCTTTAGTAAACTATGCCACCAGAGCTCCTAATGGTTAAGCAGAAATGGTATAATGATGACAAAGAAAATGGGGAGGGGGGAAGAAAAAGAAAGAAAGAAATAAAAAAACCCAAGCCTGGTGATGAAGCTGGTAAGATAGAATGAGATCAATGATTATTAGATAAAAATAGCCTAAATTAGGAGAAAGTCATAGCATGGCATTCAAATAGTAAGTAGCATACAAAGGCTGTATTCCTCAATTCAGAAACAAAATTGCAGAACAGGACATAGCAGAACTCTTACCAGTATCTTTTTTCTCTCAACATCTGGACATCATGGCCTAGGGAATGTTATAACTGTAATATAAACATCATAACTTGTTTCATTACCTAACTACTAAATTAAAACTTGTTTATCCAAATATTGGTCAGATATGAGATAAATTTTAGGAACCACTGATTCTGTATCTTGTATCAAACGGTTTCATGTATTATAAACAAACATACAAGTGTCATTGGAAAAAGTATTCTAGGTGCTCTATTTTATTGACAAAACTAATTTCTATTGGGGAGCTCTGGTAGCATAGTGGCTAAGACACTTGCCTGCTAACCAGATGGCTGGTGGTTCAAACCCACCAGCCACTCCTCGGAAGGAAGGTTGGGCAATCCTACTTCCGTAGTGATACTGCCTCGGAAACCCAAGGAGGGGTCACTATGAGTAGGGTTTGACTCGACGGCACATAACAACAAAAACAACAATTTCTATTGATATAGTAAATACCAGGAGCTCTGGTAGGATAGTGCCTAAGGCACTTGACTGCTAACAGAAGGTTGGCGGTTCAAACCCACCAGCCACTCCTCGGAAGGAAGGTTGGGCAATCTACTTCTGTAGTGATACTGCCTCAGAAACCCAAGGAGGGGTCACTATGAGTTGGGTCTGACGTGATGGCACATAACAACAACAACATAGTAAATACCACAATTTGACCAAGTTTGAGATAGCAAGTAAGTAATAGATATTGGATATCTTAAGGGATATATAGCAAGTTACTCACAAGGATTTAGTCATTATTATGAGTTAACATATTTTGTTATTTAGAAGATATTTATAAATAGAGATACTTTTCATTTTTAACTGTCTACTTTTAAAGAACTAATATTAGAAAGTTGGTATTTAAAAATTTGAAATCATTTTCCCCCAAGTTATATTGCAAAGGAGAAAGTTAATAAAACCTAATTTTTTAAAAACAAACTGTTATATAAACAAGTAAAAATAAAATCCATTATCATGCTAATTGGCATCTTTTGCTATTCTTTAGCTGTGCAAAATAAACCTGAAATGTAGTGGTATAATTTAAAAGATCCTTGATATGACACTAACAACTTCCAAATTCTGCTCACAGACTATATATAAATTATAAGAGTATTAAAATATAGCTTTTTGAAAAATAATAAGATGACCATTTATACCTAAATAAGGTTTCCCAGAAACATATGAAATATTTTAGCATATAAAAGCAGTTGCCCCTTTTCTGTCAGGACAACTGTTGTTTCACAAAATAACTCATGATGAATTTTAATGTCATTGCTTTTAAATCTACTAAAATATTATACAGTATACTTTGAAAAATACTACTCTGCAACTTCAAAAACGACAATTACCCAATATGTCTTCTTAGTTAAAATCCAAAGAAAAGTATTAGACTTGCTACTTTTAAGAAGAGAAAGAAAGAAAAAGAATTTGAGGTTAAGGTTTTTTAAAAAATGAAGAATATAACAATATTTACTAAGCTGAAATATTTTTATAAAAAATTCCATAAAATCAATATACTGCTGGGGAAGATATGAATTCACTTAAATGATTTGCCTGCTACCAAGCAGACTGGTTCATAGTGAAGGACATGGAAGAAGGTTTACACATGAATTAAAAAATAATGAAAAGGAAACCTCTCAGGAAGTAAAAGGGACTTAACACACAAGTTTAATTTACTATGTATTTTTTAAAGTATTCCAACCTTATTCAGAAATAACAGAAAATATCCAAGAAGTTTAAAATCCAAGGCCTTTAATTATTTTCAGTAACGACCATAAATGCCTTCACAAAACCTCTTTTCCACTCTAAAGAGAAGGCACTAGACATTTCATAACACCTTGAAAGCAGTGATTCCGTCTGATGCTGGTGGAGATACACATTAAAATGGCAGGGTGCAGATATTAACAAAGTCCTTTTAAAAAAAAAAAACTGAAAATCACACATAAAAATTAAGTCACCCAGTCAGTTATCCAATGCAATTTTAAGTTCTTTTTTACAAGTACATAATTAGAAATTAAGAGATTAACTTGGTAGGTATGATATGGTTTTCAAGATGTGTTAATTTCAGTTAAATACAGAAAATACGAAGACACCATTATCATGCTAATTGGCATCTTTTGCTATTCTTTAGCTGTGCAAAATAAACTTGAAATGTAGTGGTATAATTTAAAAGATCCTTGATATGACACTAACAACTTCCAAATTCTGCTCACAGACTATATATAAATTGTAAGAGTATTAAAATATACCTTTTTGAAAAATAATAAGATGACCATTTATACCTAAATAAGGTTTCCCAAAAACATATGAAATATTTTAGCATATAAAAGCAGTTGCCCCTTTTCTGTCAGGACAACTGTTGTTTCACAAAATAACTCATGATCAAAGGCAAATGATTTTTTTCAAATGCCATTTTCTCTCTATGACTTTGAGGTATGCTTGAAGAGACTGTACCCATGAGAAAAGGACAAGTTTGGTACTAAACCACAGTTACAAACAAACAGAAGGTTTTCTTGGGTCAGGAGTCCCTTATGAGTTATAACAACAAAGAACAAGAGATAACTTCTGAAGCCATTTCTTTTACAAATAACTACAACTAAACTGGGTTACTTAAAGGGTAATTCAACACACAGCTATTTACATATTTGCGACGTCATGTGTGCCTATTTTAAATAGTAGCTTCTGTAGGACACTCCTATTCAAACACAAGCCAAACAATCTTACCCTACCAAACCACATTTTTATATTTTTGGCAAGGTAGTATAAACAAAATAAAAATAAAAATCACACAAAAAAATGATAAAAAAACTAGCTATAACAACAATTCAGGCAAAAGGTCCCATGTCAAACAACAGTAGGAAAAGTGTTCTGAGAAATATTAATTAGGAGAAAGAAAGCTCTAACAAACAAATAATGCCACTGAAAATCAGTTATAATCACTCAAGACTATCACATGAAAGGCTTAAGAATGCACTTGAAATAAGAATAGTTCCGTTTAAAAAATCACCAATCATGAGGTTTATAATTAGAATTATCTTTGAAAAACATCCATGCTAATTAATCTAAACAGGCCCAATTAGTAAAAGTTTAGAGGAAATAAACTATTCTTCCCTAATCCGTAATTAACACTAATATCTTCTCATCTTTGGAGAAACTGATGACTGAATTTTGAAAATGCTAATGAAATTAAAATCTTATACAGGGCAATTGAGAAAAATAAAAGCCTACAAATAAACACACTGGGAGGCAAGAAACACATTTTTAAGCATTGATTACCCAAGAGAATACTTTATAAAATTATATATCATAATCACCAAACCAAAACCAAACTCACTACCATGGAGTTGGATCTGACTCATAGTGTGACACCTCCTTGGGTTTCCCAGGTGGTATCACTATGGAAGTAAATTGCCCAACTTTCCTTCCAAAGAGTGGCTGGTGGGTTTGAACCACCAGCCTTCTGGTTAGCAACCAAATGCCTTAGGCACTATGCCACCAGAGCTCCTATATCATAATCAAGATAACAAAAAGCTTCAAGACTAGCAGCTGGGCTTTATGAAACAAGTAGGACAATGGAAGGCACTACATAAGCATTGATTACTTCTAACTCTAGTTCAACAAGTCAGTCTTTCCTTCTTCTTAAGAAGACAGCCAGTGTGAATGTTATTTTTATATCCCCCTGAGTTTTAACATGATTGGGCAAAGCAGCACCAATGTAAAAAAATATCTGCAATGCCAGCACTGCAGTTTGGAATCACTTACACTGATGGCCCCACAGGTTCTCTCGTAAGAGCACTTTAGAACATGATTAAAAATATAGAAAGCCTTTCAGTGTTTGAGTATTAAAGTGGAACCACCGCAGACAACCATTTTAAAAAATAATGCACTAAAAGGTCTGTTCATACAGTATAGTCTTTCCACCCTGCATCTAGCGTTCACAGCTGATTTCCACTTCTTTGCCACTGAGACATCTGTTTTGTTCATCTGGTTGAAATGTCAGTATGCTTCATGGTGCACAATCCTTTTTGGCTAGAAAATCTTGGCAAATATCATGCCATGCCTGTTTTCAGCAGAATGCCTTGCAGGTCCTCTGGCAATGCTAAGATAATTGCATCTATGTGTGTCCGTAACTTTTCCATAGTGTCAGGTTTCACAGGTAAACGCTCTCGATCAGCCTGCACCTACAGAAGGAACATGTAGCAGCATTTAAACTATCTTCTGAATTTATTTATACTAATATACTATTTTTTCCAGATAAACAGTTTGAATAGTCTAATGATTTGGAAACTTTCAGATTTTACTCAGACCAGAATATGCCACCTAAATAATACATTATCAGGCTGAATAAAAGGCTTCTATGTAATTTTATAGATAATATCCAGGCATGCTATGTGGTATTAAATGTGACAATTTGTTTTGTATAGTTCACTAAAAAACTCAAACTAACTACCACTGCATCGATTCTGACTCACAGCAAGTTCTTGTGTATTTCCAAGGCTATAAATAAAAAAGACTGCCTCATTTTATTTCTGCAGAGCAACTGGTGGGTTTGAACCACCAATCTCTGGTTAGCCACCAAATGCCTTAACCAGTATACCACTAGAGCTCACTAGACTTTGTGTAAATAATTTTAGAATATATAGCATCATTATGATCTGCCTGAGTGACTAGGTATTTTCAGTCCTTTGTACCCAAGAAGATCTATCATCAATTGATCTATCTCAAGTCTTCTCATTAGAAAAATTACTTCTGTAGTACAGCATGGGTTGACAACTATAATGAGGGGAAAATATCTTCACAGAAAAGCTGGTTACATACCAGCTTATTTTTCAGCTTTAATACAAGGTCTACTGTTTCTACTTCTGTGTGTTTCTGGATCCAGAGAAGTAAGTCCTAGAAGAATAAATAAATCCAAAATCAGTAAGTACCCCAAAAAATGTTCAAGTGGTTCTACTGCAACAGGAGAGGCAACTGGGAAGGAAGGACAAAAAGAAAAAGGAAAACAGTATTTTTAAAACCAGATATAGCACTAAAGTACTAGGATAACTATTAATTGGATAACTTTCAACATCAGCCAGAACAAATGTCAACAACTGTCAGTGTTTAAAAATAAAAGAAAAATAGAAAGAAAATGTACGAAAATTCCTTTCTAAGGTGGTCTTTTAGATCAATCAAGAAAAAACAGAATCGCAATTCTAAGTGCAAAATTATGCTCTTCCCCAAAACCAAGTAGTGAGTACAGGCAGTCCCTGGGTTAGGGTCACCTGACTTATGGACAACTCCTACTTGCCCTTGAATGCAAGGCTTCAAATAGTTCTGACATGGCTGATGAAGTGATATAGGAACAGATCAGAAATTTACAACTTAGGTGATTTGTCATGGTATTGCAATAGGTGACTTAGAAGAAGCATAGTGAGCCCTCTCAGAGGTCTGTCACGTGAGACTGGGTTACTGGCAGGACTGAGGAGAGCCAAACATATCCAAAGCAGCACAGTCGGCTGCCATATTTGAGTGAGACACCACCACCTTTCAGGGGGGTGTTGCCATCTTTGAAGTACTGCTTTAACTATATTATATAAACCTGCTCTTACTTTGAAATGAATGAACCCCAAAGCCACTGTCAGAGACTTGATTCCCACTCAAAGTGACCCTGTAGGACAGAGCAGAACTATCCCACAGTTTCCAAGGTTATAAGTCTTTGTGGAAGCAGACTGCCTCATCTTTCTCCGGCAGAGCTCGTGGGTTTAAACTGCTAACTTTTTGGTTAGCACCCAAATACCTTAACCACTATACCATGACAGCTCCTCTACTGAACCCTACTCATAACAAATTTTTCATCGCAATCACCTTCATTTGCTGTATTGCAGCTTTTAAATCATAGAAAAGGCTTCCAGACTTTTCTTGCACTAAAACAAACAAACAAAAAACCAAACTCAACTGCCATCGAGTCATTTCTGACTCATAGCGACCCCCCCATTGGTTTCCAAGGCTGTAAATATTTAGGGAAGCAATCTGCCTTGTCTTTTTTCCATGGAGTAGTGGTAGGTTTGAACTGCCAATCTCCTGGTTAGCAACCAAATAAATGCCTTAATCACTATACCAATAGGCTCCTCTTTTTGCACTAAAGTAAGGCTAAAAATGAACCATATGTATCTGTTCTGTATAAATTCTTAAGGACACAGTTAGGAAGAGATCTTGTTTGTAACCCAGGGACTGTCTGTACTTTAATTTATAAGAATCATTAACTAAAACATTAAGATAATTATGAATATGAGTTTTGTATCTGCAAACAAGCTATTCTTAGGCTTAGCTGTGGTTGCTTTCATCATAATCTTCAAAACCAGTCACTTGGAATTCATAATTAGAAAGTTAATACTGGAGATAGCTCACTTCAATATTTAAAGCTAAATATAAGTGAAAATAAGACTGTCCTTACAAATAGTTTAATTTAAAATAGTGTGCTGATTAAGTTATGAAATATGAAAAAGTCAGTCCAGACATATGAAAAATTGTTAATACTAAATGGATAAGGAATACTGGAAAAGAACTCAGGATCTGGAGTTTGACTGCCTGGATTTGAATCCTGGGTCCATCCAGTGGTATACTGGTGAATATTTAATGAACAGCTCTCCAGAATAAATCTCAGGTTTGTAGCATTTGCCAATTTTCTGTGGTGTACATGCATTTTAGCTGATTCCAAGCTATCAATCTGAGGCCACAGAATGCAGGGCTGCACATAATTAGCTCCTGTGAGCCAGTGCAAGTGGACTTTACCGCACTGTTGGCTACACTAGTAAGCAGTGATATGGACTATGGACAGTCACCTACCTTCTGTTAAGCCTCAGGTGTCCCATAATGCAAATCATAGCACACCTACCTCAATGAGTTGTTGTGACTATTAAAATAGGTAATACATATAAAGTCCCTGGCATAGTACATGACCTAAAAAACTTAGCATTAGTACTACTTATAAACAAGTGGGTAAGAGTGTAAACTTCCAACCTCTAAGGATAACCAGATCTTTATTTTCAATATGCTAAATATTTTCAATATGTTAAACATCACACAAACATACTGTTTTCTAACCTCTTCACAAAGAGCTTCTAGATGGAGTGCCTCCAATTTCTGGGTCATTTCCTTCCGCCGTGTCCTGAACCAGCCATCAAAATTAGGAGATTTTAGAAAATGCCTATCAAAGTAAGTTTTTAAAAAATCAAGTTTGATTATGATTTTTTTTTAAAGAAAGCTCTGTATATGGGTGCAAATGAAGAGAAAAAATAACAGACTTACCGGTAAAGTCCAATCCAATCACCTTTTATTCTAGAGGTCAGCTGAGGTCCTGTTTTCTCAAGTGTTTTCATAAATTCTTCTGGAAGGAACTGTCTTAATTGGGGTGGACTCTAGAAAACAGAACATAGTACATTTTAAAATTAGAAATGGATATATTCACAGGAGTTAATTACCATTAGAAAATTCACAGAGAAATTTATTTGAATATATTCATACCTTCCATGCAGAAATACTTTTCTGCAAAGGCATCAAGCTTGCCACGTATCTTTCCTAAAACCAAGAAAGAAAAGTTAATCAAAGTTAGGTGTTCTCACCCAGATAGTCTTCAAAAACTTTTAAAAAGACTATTTAAAAGAGATGGGCTTCCAAGTTTTATATGATACGCTTTAAAAAAAAAAAAAAAAAATTTTTTATTGTGATTTGGGTGAAAGTTCACAGCGCAAATTCATTTTCCATACAGCAGTTCACATACACTTTGTCTCATAACAAAGTATCCTTTCCTCCCATGCACTCCTGTCCCCCTGAGCTGTCTCCCTGTGCATACACAGCCCTTCTATTCTCCTATGATTGATCTCTCCAACGAGTGTATCTACCTAATAATGTAAATGTTCAGCTCATATGCTTGTCTTTTGTTTGGCTGGAAGCCACAGGAGTAGGTTCAATTTCAGATCTGAAGGGGAGTTAGGGGCCATAGTCTCAGGGGTGCCACCAAGCTCTATCAGACAGCAAACCTGGTCCCTCTTGCTTTTTTATTATTTTGAATTTTGCTCCACATTGTTCTCCCATTCTATCTAGGATCTCCTACATACTTCCCCCTCCAAGCAGTTGAAAGTGGTAGCCAGATACCACCTAGTTCTGGTCTCATGTTCATATACGCTGAGGATCATTGTAGACCAGTCCCTTGGACTAAATGTTTCCAAGAGTCTTTGGTTTTCTTCTTTCTTCTTTGCTCTAGACGAAGAGAGACCCATCATTGCATCCAGATGGCCCCTTGCAAGCTTTTAAGATCCCGGTCGCTACTCACCAAAGTAGGATAGGGAACAATGTTTTTATATAGTATGCTATGCCAATTGAGCTTGCTGTCCCCTGGGACCATGGTCCCTAGCCCACAGGTCCAACTACTGGCTCCTTCTGGGTAGCTGACTGTGGCCAAGAGTGACTACAACCTTGTCCCTTGTCAGCTCCACTATATACCTGGGAATTCTTATAGAACATACAAATACACTTTTAAAAACATTGTCTGGAACCTTAAAAGCTAGGAAGCTGCCATCTAGATGCAACAACGGGTCTCTCCTCGTCAAGAAGAAAGAAGAAAACCAAAATTAATGGAAACAATCAG